TTCAACATGCATCTCAGAGAACAATCGTTTGTTTTTTTTGCCTTAGTTGGTAGCGCTTTTGCCTGAAAACATTAGGCAGTTGAACATAATCCAAATATAGAACTATGCAAGCATCTAAATCACAATGGACAAGTTTCACTCCTTGTTGGGACAAACCACTGATGGGTGAGGGATTCAGCTGGGATAAAGTCGGTCTCACGGTTACAATGGATGAACTTGCAAACGAGTCCGCTTTTCATTCAACTAGTCTGACAGCAGCAGATCACTAGATATCGCTTCTCTTCTAAGATAATTTTCGACTTTTTTGTCCTCTTGACTTTGTACACAATTCCTCAATAAAACTACTAGTAGGAAATGTATCACACAAAACTTATTTTTTCGTTACAAATGGGTACTTTCAGTTAGCCAAAGTAATCACAAATTAATTTTCCTCACCCAGTAATTGATAATTTTGTTGATGGGTTCTCTTTTTTAAGGATTTTCCACCTGTTTGTGCTCCTTAACCCATTTGTAAGTAAAAACAAGACGCTTATCCCAGAGGAACCATTCAGTTCATTCCAGATTTCATCCTTTTTGGGCGTAACAATTTCTGTTGTATACGCGCCTTGTTGAGAGCTGTTAGCTTCTCTCTTATTCAAAAATCTACATCAATAATGATGCCAACTTCAAGGCACTTCGGCGTGCTCTGATGTTCGAGTTACTCAAGCATATGGGACCCCTGTTGGACTTTAACCTGCAGAACGTAAAAGACGCTACCTACCCATACTGATCAGGATGGTTTTATTAAACAAATAGATTAAATTTTAAAACGGTGGTTGCTCATATTTGATACGCAGCCTATGTCCCATCGAATAACGCCTACTAGGACCGCTGAGAGTAGTGTTTACGATCCTCCAGGTAACAAAGTCAAATAAGAAACGCTCTACTTACACCGAGTCACCAACCTACAACATATGTAGTTTGGGCTGGGTTTTGATTCCAGGAAAGCGGCGTTCGTTCAATAGTGTGTATTACTCGTTTTTTTCCTTAGTATGGTAGTTTTTTGGAATACTGAGTGTGCGAATAGGTCAGTCAGCTTTTATCATAATAACTTAATTTCCCGACCAGGGAGACAGAATTTTAAAACTGAACGGGTATTCTGCATCCAATTTCGCAAAATGTTTTCAGTAGTTAGCGCTAATGTTTCTTTCAAAACGATCAGGCAAAACTTCATTATTGAAAACAAACTTTGATTCTTCATTTCTAGCAGTTAATTATAGGCCAGACAATATTAGATTTAATTACCTAAATTCCAACTTGTCCGTGAGTATAAATGAAGGCAGTTAAGAGTGTTATATATAATGCCTCTCACCTGCGGTCCGAAATCGTTTGACTGGCGTTAACAGCAAATTAAAGCACGTTACCTGCACAACGTAGTAACCCGAAGGAAGGCACCAAGCCCACCACTTGTTTGGTACTCCGCGCAGTTGAGCAACTGCAGTCTTCGGTATAGTACATAAATATTCACTGGCCTGTAGTCGTTACCATGAGGGTTCGTGTGAACTTGACTCAAGAATTTGCAGCAAAAGGAGGCCTTCGCTGCGAAGTTATTTATCAGAAAATGCCAAATGACCAGTTACAGACTATTGAACAGGGAAGCAAAACTCTCATCTGCATCCTATTTACAAAAACTGAACATCCATATTCTCCTAAACGCGTCTTCTTAAACTTTCCTGAATATTCATTGGCCCCGATCATTCATTGCTCAAATCCAGGCGAATGCGACAGGGCAACTCCAAGAATTCCGCAACAGATATTCCTTTTCAGGAGACGCGAAGCGAATTTACAAGAACAAAACATACTACTCGCATGCCTCTCCATCAGTAGTATTACCGTTACACATCTCCACCCCTAAAGCTCGTTCGCATGCCATCGATTTTCATTTACCTCCGTCAGGTCGGCTTGGGCGGCGGGTCTACTCAGCCACGCGTTGGGTGTATCATGCCACTTACGAAGCCGCGTCCCATTTACTCTTTTCGATCTCCGACCATCTTGCATTGTATAGGCGTTCCCCCGGTGGTCGGTAACGACAAACGGCCCTTGTCACCGACCGCCTGGCTTCCGCGACACCATCCCACTGTTTCCAGGATTCTGGTGATCATTCCACCTGACCTTTGTGCCTATGTGGAATGTTCGTGCCTTTCTACTTGCCGTTTTCTGCTTAGTCCTTTCCTGAATGGCGGTCAAGTTTTTTCGAACTCCCCTTCTTTCTTCCTCCAACTGCTCCGGAGACAAGCGTATTTCCGGTCACAACCCAATTTTTTGATCAACTAAAGGGCGCGGATGTCGACCCTATATCACCATAAACGGTAACTTGCCTGTGGTTGACTGTATGGAAGCACGATGAGCTAGCAAGTTCATTTCCCAGTCACCTCCTTTGGCCGCCAGCCACTCCTTGATCGTTCGGTTATTACGTTCGGTTAGGCCATTTGTTTGCGGGTAGTATGGTGCCGTCCTTAGCTGTCTAATACCCAGCTTCTGCAATTCTTAAACTCTTCGCTATTGAAGCAAGGCCCTTGATTGGTTAGGATCATTTTTGGCACCCCATGGTTGGTCACGATGCGGTGCATTACCACTCCACTGATCGTCGTCGGCAGCTGATTAGACACGGCTGCCGTCTCAATCCACCACGACATGTATTCTGCCATTATCGCGATGTATTGATTCCCGATGGTTGTCACCGGAAGGGGGCTCATGACGTCAATGGACCACAACTCGCCGATTTCTGAGACAGGAATCGGGTCCGTGGGATGGGTTGCCCCTGTCGTGTTCCCTTTCATCAGTTGGCACCTCCTACAGGGAGCCATATAATCCACATTACCACTTCATTTCTCATCTCGGGCCAGTAGGCCTTCCGTCGAAGTAAGTCGTACGTCTTGGTGCACCCTGTATGTGCCATCTCATGGCGTTCGACGATAAGCTTCCGTCTCAGGCCACGAGGTATCACGGGCAGCACAACATCCGAATCCGTGGCGTTCCAGGAAATTATGCCAGCTTCAATCAGCCTCAACCGATCAAAGTGACTCTGGAAATTTTCCAATTCCTTGTCTCCATCTCCGTTCTCAATGCTCCTTCCACCCAACAAGGCAGCGTAATATTGTTGGTTTAGAACATTTTGTATATTATATACCCTAATTGCACCCCCACATGGATGTGATTTAACCAGGAAAGAAGTCCTGGTGCACTCATGTGAAAACAGTTATTCAGTCGTGAACGTACCAGATTAGTTGACTAAATTGAGGGAATTTCCATCAGGTACACGATAATCTCTGGCTCGATCGTAATCCGCCTCGGTAAACCAGGCTTTCACACGGTTGCAGCATGCTCCTTCCGTCAATAGGAATTCATACAACACCGTCGCCAGCAATGCACCGATAAATGGTCCCACAATGTATACCTTGAAGAGAATTGAATCATATTTGAAAGAATCTCTTACCCGCGCTTCTAATATAAATTTGCATGTCAAATGCGAAAGTTTAACTGCTGATTGATTACTAAGTAGGCTGATTGCATATTCATTTTCCCTTGAAGAGTATATGGCGAACTAGTTTATTGCATTGTGCTGGGTAGTCCGCTCAATCAACGTTCTTGCCCTTGGAAAAGCCATCAACAGAACGCTATGACTCACGTGCTTCTTCAGACTCATCTCGCTCTAAATTGCTTTTGAGAGCCTATCACAATCGGTCACCTTAGGGAGTTGCCGTATTTTGGGTGGGACAACGAGATGTAGCCTGCGCTGACATTATCAATAAATTCAGTGGTAGCGGAGAGGGTATTATTTCAGATAAGTTGCACAGAGCGGGAATCACATCTTTATTCTCCGCCCAGGAGACGGAAACTTGTAGTTTAATGACTAAACAGTTAGTTGAACAATGCCTCATCTTATAAACATCGCAGAGTACTTTTTAGAAAGGACGCCTTTGGGGTAAATAAAATTGTTCCCTCATCCGGTCAGTTTTCTTAACATCTTTGATTGTACTTACCGTCAAAAAGCTTCAGAAATGTGTCCAATGTCACTTCTTTGACCACTTGTTGACTATTTTCCACGCTGAGATTCTGTAAACCCTCAGTTTACTTTGTAAAACCGGATCAACTGGGAACTTTCACGCTTTTCCAGCGTCACTGATTTTACTATGTGATTGCAGCTCGAAAAACTCAGCGTCATCGTCTTTATTGAGATGCAGTTGGGCGATCTTATGACTAAGTTCCGGGCTGTTTTCTCTGGGCCGAGCTTTCACCGATCAGATTGTGTGGCTAATGACAACAAATTATGCTTGAAAACCATAGGCTATACGTGTATTATTACATTATACTATGTATTATATTACATGTATTATATATAATACATATAATACATATAATACATATAATACATCTTGTGTGTTTTAATTATATTATAATACATATAATACATATAATACATATAATACATATAATACATATAATACATATAATACATATAATACATCTTGTGTGTTTTATATTATATTATTATATCCCTCTCTGACCAACACTAAGGATGTTGCGACCGCTTGTGATTCTTGGGTAAGCGATAACTAACGTTCATTCTTAAAGCCTCCCCTTATTTGTCCACACTTTGGTACCAAAATAGCCTTATCACGTAAATACGAATGCTGTTTACAGAGGGTCTTCAACCCTTTTCTAACCCAACGTAGATCACACAAGGTACATCGCAAAATTCCTAAATCAGCATGTTGTTATGCTGTTCAATCGTTGTCGTTATATTCAATGACCACAGGGCATACTGCAATATTGGAACCTGATGCTTAACCGGCATACAACCGTGGAAGAAGGAAGACTCATTAGAACGTGGAATAGAGAGAGAGAACAGTGGAGACTTATCACGACAAACCCTATACCCCAGGGAAAACTACCAAGATCAAGAGAACCATACCTCCCCAGACTGTGGAAATAATCGTCCAAACATCGTCATCAATAGTATCAACTCAAAGTATGACTTACCCAACACAAGCACAACAAACAACGACAAATAGAAATGAGCCGAGCAGTGCGCCCTAGAACTGACCAGTGAAACAGACTAAGTGCCAGTTGCTGCCAGGTCTCCAATTGCACGCAAGCCGAATCACGTGAACCCTACTCAGGAAGGTTCCAAAATCGCACAACGCTCACCATGATGGCAGATGTCCGGGCAACGAAGTTTTGGAGCGGAAAGCATGATTTTTTGCGTAGACAGCGATCGGGCATATGTAGTACATGCCTCAACTACCTTAACGTAACAGGCCTTATCTGCCGCTCAGAAGAAACTGGTTCACCACCCAGTACTTCCCTGTATACTCTCTTACTCCATACAAGCAGCAGCCAGTCAACTGCTGCCACACTGAGGAGGTGCCCGTGACAGCATACTTGATGACCTTCAGATAAACCAGGCTATGACTGACAGCCATATTGTATTTCTGTACACGTGGCACTTCTACCTCAGTGATATTCGTTACTGAAGCTAGTGGTAAGACAAGTTGACGAACTTCGTTCGTGCATTGATGATGCACCCATTGATATTCTTCAGCGCAGTGTATTCAAGAGTTGTACCGCCATCAAGTCAAGCAAACACATCAACAAAATCAGGCTCCTCATATTGGAGTTTTAAAGGGGTACATAAGAATATGGAATCCTGAAGTAGGAATTTGCACTTCAAGATTGAAAAAGAGAATACCCGAACAGGGGACCACGCTTGTTGAGCTGTGTGGAATAGTTTGTGCAAACTTGTGACCAAAAGACAACAGAACGGTAATCCAAGTGTGCTAATCTTTCTGTGGATATTATTTTGTCACCCATATCCGCAGTCCCTTGAAGCGTACATTCCAAATTCATTTCCATGACAACAGTGGACGAAAGTGGATGGGGAACATCCCTAGCGAAGTCTACTGGTCAGAGGGAAAATTCATGACAGCTTATCACAAACCCTAACGCAACCAGAAAGACGGGCACATGCGAAGTGAAGAATATTCACAAAATTCAAGGGCATTTCTTGCTGGCTAACTATGTCATAGAGCCGAATGCTCTCCTGAAGTTAGGGAAAACAACCTTAGTTGATTAGTTGCATGTAAGATGCTGCGAAAGCGCTTAAAGTAATGAGATGTGGTCGCTGAATTCCACAACCCACCCAGTGCCTCTAGGCTTGATAAGTGAGCTCAGTTTTATTGTAGCTAGTAGCGGTGTTGTGAATAGGGATAAGCCAATAGCCCTATGGCTGGAGCAGTTAGCTTGGGGGGTACGGTTGAGTAGGGAGACCTTTACTGAAAGGCTGATAGATATTCACTGGAAGCTTATGGAATTTTCCGAAGGTTCCAGGCGGCAACGCCTAAATAATGAGTGTCAAAGGAAAGAAAATGTCAACAGATAAAGTGTACACACCGTCACAATACTATAAGTATCAGATCTCTCCTGAATATTTACTGCTAAGCATTAGCTACCCCGCTAATGAATCCTGTTACTAAGAGCACGTATACAGAAGGTGACCGTTCATGTTATCTGGGGACAACACAAAACGCAGACAGAACGTCTCAGGTTACTTTTCCCTGAGGATACAACATCCTCGGATGCAGCATGCCCAGGACCGAAGCATGAGGCAACAATATGCAAATTAATTATTAAGTTTTTAAGAAACTTACTGTCAAACTCCAAAATAGTTTCGCTACAGTATGGAATCACCCTTTCAACATTGGAAGGACAGAGTTGCAGGGACTTCATTATCGTGCAAAAAACTACTCGTATTTTCTATAAAGTTTTCGTGCACTTTTCATGATGTGACAGAAAGGTAGAGTATAAGATCGGTATCCCAGCCCCACAAGTTTATAGTTTCCACCTAGCACAATATTGTGGTCATCGCAAATGGAGGGTCTGTGTTTGATTTTGAATGATGGGAAATTTGTCGGTGATGATGAGTGGACAACTGAGTGAAAAGAGGTGCGAAGATCCAGGGCGGTTACTGTCACGTTGCTCTATCCTTGTGTTTGCAGAATGTAACCAGTGGATGAAGGAGATAGTCTACTACCGCACTGGTACTTTGGTGAGTTTTGTATTAACAGTGTCGAAAAGCTGTCAATAAGTTAAATCTGCAGTCGTCAGTATTATAGAACACCTTGCCACTGAAGGTAACCATCGTGAGAGTAACTTTTGCACCATCGCGGCCAATTTTTCATCGCCCAAATGGCAAAAAAATCACTTGTCACTCAATATAACTAAATGCTGTGTGAAAGGAGGGGCGAAAAAACGTCAAATAAAACGGCGCATTTGCTCCTAAGAATGGTACGCTCAGTGGCTCATAGCCTAGGCTTTCAACGTCAAACATATCCAAAAGATTTTAAAGTGTTTCTTCCGAAATGGATCATTTCCTCCTGGCCGGCCGATCAATAAGAACGGTATTAAGTGCCTTATGCGCCTGCGTCATGAGGTCTCACTTGAGTGCCATTCAGCATCTTCCGTCAGGATTTTCCAACTAATTGATTTTTAAGGAAAAATTCAAATCAATGCCATGTGAATCCCTCATTTACGGTATTTCTAAAGTAAATTCGCTCTGAAAAAAGTCACTTCGTAACGTATTTGGGAGGATGCTCGGGATTGTGGTACATTTTTTGAAGGACCATAATTCATATGTTGGGTGAAAACCCTTCGAATCTCACGACCCGTTTCAACCATCTCTGAACTCATCAGGTAGACGCAGTCCCTGAGTTCCTTTCAACATTATGTTCTACTTGAATCTAAATTAGACGTATTTCGCTGAATGCACCCATTTGAAAACTAATTTATTCTTAACGGGAGATTTATCTAGATCTTAGCTTATGTAATCTTCGGCTGGAGGCTGTCAATGATCCCAGAGCAACCTTAAGAGTGGTGTGTTCCGTCATGGATTCTCCAGACGTCCAGTAATTTTGCATATCTAGTTCGTGTCATTTCAACTCATTCCATCTTGTCCAACTTGGATACGAACCACCAAACAAGATAAGCGCTTACAAAAAGGGATTTCCATCTTACGACACGACCCATTCTTGAGAACTAGAGATATTGAGCAACCATACGTTACTTCATGTTATCATCCAGCTATATTGCCTTACGTCGATATTTCAAATATGGAATTTTTCAAGCAAAAGTGCTGCACGCGCATCCGGGGCTAAATTACTAGTCAGGACAAACGTAGTATAGCAATGAAAATCTAATAATGTGACGTGATAATGTGTCAGATGTGCTTGTTATGCAAACTGTTTAACGTGACTGTCACCTAACAAACCTGGATCAGTGGGAATATCCGTTGTAATTCTTTCATTTAGGTAATAAGTCAACAAGTTGGAGAACCAAAAGGTTTCCCCTTCTACTTTCTATCACTGATACTATAAGGAGAAAGCAGCCATGTTTTCAAACTTGCTTCCACAATGTACTTGCTAGTCTTGATGAAGTTCCAGGAGGAAGAAATACTGTACCCCTGCATCGTTACTCGTAAACGTAGGTAACATAATCAGCCGAAATCCCTCTTCATTTCCTTTCACCTTTGGTGCTGCTCTGTGACCATTTATCTTCAACGGCAGCCTTCTGCTTTTAAAGAGGTCATCGCAAGAGAGCATTTGACAAAAGCTGTCAGTTTCGTGCCCGTCCCGAAGTCGCATTTGATGGCTAAAATTATTGCACAACATGCATTCACTTTGAAGGCAATATCTGAAAGGTAGAACCAAATAGATTTACTTCGAAAAGCCGTCGCTTCTGGCAAGAACTCGACCTTGAAACAAGGCCTGACGGATCCAGCCAACATGGATCGCTTCAAAAGCGTTGTTTCTACAGCAAAATTCCGCTGTAAATATTGCGTGCTACGTAAATGAATATCAATTTCTGAGGTTCATTAGTAGTTCCGGGGAAGGTCCCTAACTGGATTCGTTGAATACACCCTCGTGAATGAGAAAACTAGGGTTTCCACTAGAGTGGTCTTCGTCGTAAGTAAGAGATAGTCTCTTGAAACCAAACCCCAATTTCGGTTTTCGTAAATGGTCGTTACGCGATGCTTGCTGCAGACATTAAGCTACTCAAAGAGACAAACAAACAACACTCAAGCCTCGTAAGTAAGAGATAGTCTCTTGAAACCAAACCCCAATTTCGGTTTTCGTAAATGGTCGTTACGCGATGCTTGCTGCAGACATTAAGCTACTCAAAGAGACAAACAAACAAATTGCACTCAAGCCTCAAAGAGCCTCACGGAGTCTCTCGGGAAGTCTTCTGAAGTGACCGGTGGCTGTTAAAAAGCTGTTCTCGAAAAGTCACTCAGAAATAGAGCAACACTGACTTCACAAGCAATGCTGGTTCAGTCACAGCTTAGTGATACCGTTCAAATGACCTATCAAAGACAGATAAAAGGTGTACTGATACATGTGACTTGATGTACTATGTTTGAAAACGGACAGTGGGTACCGCCTGTTATTCTACTCATATTCCCAATATGACAGAGGAGCGCATATGTAAAACCAGACTTCAAGCTTGGGGGACAAGTAAGATCATCGTCTAAGGCTAATTTCAGTCATCCCCTCATCTCCGAATTTTATTAGGCTGCACGAGACAAAAAACCATACCAAACATTATATACATTTTTATACATATAAGCATACAATCGAAATGTGCACTCTAAAATTGGTAAAATATCTGTCATCACGTCCTTATGAAATCCGTTCTACAAATCTGTCCAAAATGTGTTACATGGGGGTCAGTCCGTCTCAGACAAATTGTTTAGAATCCTTGCGGATCAACGAAACCTGATCAACTAAGAACATTGAAGTTCCAATGCAGGTCACACCGGATGTGAAGCGCTGGTACGAAGTAATTCGATATTGACCATGCATTCAACCATCGTTGATCAATTCCAGTTAGATCATTTTCGACTAGTTGTAGAGGTTGATGAATTTGTAGAACTAATTCCCACGTCACTCTCGTTTGAAAATGTCTACCTTTTCATACGTGATAATTCAGATATCTAGTGTGCGCTGCTGGAGTAGCGGTGATAAGCTCTAATTGTACATCACATGTCCAGAGTCCAAACCGCAGCACAACCAGGTACATGCACTGCAGATGAGTTCTTACATGTTCTAGGTACTCGTCCCATTGTCTTCCCCTTTTTATGCAGACCCATCTTGACAAGAAAGTTTCTTCAGCAATGTGAACATTCATCCCTCAAATCCGGAAGCCACCTAACAATAAAATACTGGTTTGATTAAAACAACTGTTGGAACTAGGAGTTTTATATCCTTTCAATCGGGATCTGTACACAAACTGCATATCATTCAATAATTATCTTAGCTAAGTGCACGATGATATGCGTATACTGGCGTTCACTATGATAGAGTCATCTTTCACAGCTTATTCTTACGGGACACTTAAATCTCGCAAAACGAAAACTGTAATATTTACGGTTATTTAACAAAATATTCATGTACTACTGTGTAATGACAGATATTTTGGTAATGGTGGCAATGATTGCAGTTTTGAATGTCTGCGCCCAGGAACAAGTTTCTACGTAGGCTCATAAATCACACGGATTCGTTACACCATGTTTGTAAGCTTTCCGTTGTCTTACTAGTTCATCTCACTTGTGGATACCTTCCAGCTGCAGCAACAGGAAACATTATGGTAGAAAACATCCAGCAACATATCATCTGCTGGTCACGTGGCACTGGCATTCGCAGTACTCTGACTTTTGTCTTGCAGCCCAGAAGAACTTACAGGATGTTCGAGGCTGAATGCTAATTCTTCTATTTTACATCAGCATGCAGATTTTGACGCAACAAGCTTGTGCTACCTTCCACTGGTTGCGTACTTGTGGCCACTTTGCACCTTCATAGCCCATGACCATCACATGACTGCACAGTTAATCCAGTTCACTTGCGCGTATACAGAGAACTTGCGCTAATAGTAAAATAGCGCTAGAACCGGCAGAGAATACCCTGAGAACTTTGTATCATACGATACAGTCTGTTTTGATCATTAGCCAGGTCGACAGTGCTTAGTGTGAAAAGGGTCAAAGACTTATATGTTTGAGTGATCGTGAGCCGACTCATTGAAATTTGCAGTGGCTAGTAGCTAGTTGAGCTCAATAAAACCCACTCGTGAAGGGCGAACTTAGTGACTGAAGGAAATGTTGTTTCACAGCTTAACCATTGGATCATTGGCCCGAAATTCATCCCGTTCAGCGCGGCTCACCCGAAGTTTCCTGTTTTAACGCTGCTCCTTCCAATGCTGTCTACAGCCCAAAGGCTGCAGTAGCTGTGATGTCGTCGCCTTAGTTGACTAAAGTGGCTAGGTCGCGGCGTCGTCTTGCGGGATAAATTCTACGTGAAACAAAATTTCGTGACTGCGTCGTCATGTTGCTAATCTGGAGAGAGTGATATAATAATTCGATGAGGACTTTTTCAAACGTGATGTTGGTTGTTCCTAGGCCCATGGAAGCCGAACAAAACGTACAAATTCGTTAGTTTCCATCGTATGAATAACCAATCTGTGAGTCATTTAACCGCATAAGAAGCAACACGCTAGCCAGTCCCAACTTTCTCCCTGCTCCTGAAGTAGACGTAGTTCTGATTCTGTCCTTCACAGGAATAGTATAAAGCTTCACCATAAGTCTATAGGATATAGGTTCCAATCCTTGTGTGCTCTGCGTTAAAAATAGCACGATCGTTTAGGCACGAAACGACTGGTCGGAAGCTTCGTGGTTTGAACCAAACCAATGCATCTCGACTGTTCCTCTCTACTTGAGAGACCTGGCAGTATCCCAGCCCATCTGCCTTCTTTGAGTGGTATGGCAGCTAGGCGCCGAAAGGCGTTACTACCATTACCAGGATATCTTCCTGTCGATTCTTTTGAACCAATTCCGAATTAGGCTTTGAAATCAAAAGTCTGGCTGGTCGCTGGTTCAATGGACGCTAAAGACGTCTAGAGTTTTGGTGGCCTCAGTTGATAGTCAGCATATATTTTATGCGTCGGAAGCTGTAAAGTACAACCTTTAGAGTGCTGATTATTTCAGAGTGCTTCTCAATAAATTGTTATTCAAATAAATTCATATGATGCCTATCAGCAACATGCGCCTGAATAATCGCATGAGTTTATTCATCCGGTCGGATTCAACGCGAACTTTGGAGAATATGCAGGCAGTCATGAATACCGATTTGCTTAGTCCCCTAGGACACTTCAGCACTTAAGGTAAAACCAGTTAATCACTCAGATGGAAAAACAAGTGCTCACAAACCGATCGAAACTCTAGCGGCTCGTGAAAAAATCACCTTTATTCGGGGTAAGTGTAATTTCTAAATTTCATTGTTAGCCTGGGGGGGTTTATAAAGCGAGATAAAATCGTCCAGACGCGCACTGGTGATGTCCCCAGGATTGGTGACGAAACATCTGCTAAAAAATTTCCGAACTAAGCAAACAAATGAGAAACCAGCTGACCTACAACAAAATTGTCTGATAGTTGACTACGAAGTGTGCCCGGATGTTGTCCCGAATAGGGCAACGCAGTTTACCACTTTGATTTGAAGCCTGTTTGTATTAGTTTGCAACAAAACAAACAGTCGTTATCAGTCTGCAACTGCTTTCGGACATATCCGGTTTTGGATGCGGCAAAATATATAATGCCACAATTTCAAAGCAAACTATTCACCGCATGTTGGGTGGGTAGGGAAAGGTTTGTACGAGCTCAGTAGTTTTCTCTCCCNGGGGAGGGAAAGGGTTGTACGAGCTCAGTGGTGTTCTCTCCCTAAACTAGTTATTTGGGTAAATCAACAAACTAACGAAGGGATGCTGCACGCTAGTATGACAAATCAACTCGCTCCTTTATCTATGGCGGTTTCACACCGTTTACTCTGAGCTTATAAAAACTCACGCACAGTGTACATAGGCTATCTCAGAAGTAACTTGGGTGCACGACCGATTTTTACCTAAGTTGGGCAGATAGGCCCGGTCTCCAAGATTCCCTCAACCTTTTGCTCTGATTGAACGTAAATTAGACAGGTTCCAAAACATACTCCCATTTGCACATGAATTTATTTTTGACAGGACACTCAATCCAACTGAAGCGTACTATCATAAACGAGATATTCAGCTAGATCAAGCTGAGTGTATTATCATAGCCGAATTGGCTTGAAAACGAGAGTATCTGTGGTAACCTGAGAGCCTTTCAACAATATCATATCGTTAACTAAGCTGGTTCACGCCATACTAAAAGACGGATGAAAATGTTTCAGGGGACTTACCCATAAATCGGTGAAATTATTATTCACGACGGCAGGACCGAAGCTTCTTGCTGGGTTCATACTCGCCCCGGTAAGATCTCCCTGTTATATAAAGATAATGAGAAAGTTAATTTGAAACCCGATTCTTAAAAAAGATGCGTGAAAAATAACATTACCGGTCGTTGGTTTGTATGCTGAGCTGGGCTATTCGATAGCAAAAGTTTCATCACCAATCGAGGTGACATCATCAGTGCATTATTGGGGAGCGTAGTGGTGCGTAGCGGTAAATTAGTGGTTGTGCAAACATGCCAACGACCATCTACGCTACCTGAGCTACCAACATTTTCCTCCACAAAATAACAGTACCATACAAATGGAGAAATCTTCACTGAACCGTTTTGCAGCTCAGACGCTTGAAGAACAGTCAGACGAGACCTTGTCTTCCACTGCTTTCAAGACATGATGCATATAATAAGACATTTAATTTCATCATACTGTGCGTTTGCAAAGTGTCTGACCAGAAGACGAACGATTTTGTGCTTTTTAACGCCTGTACACATTTCAGGAGTTGGGGGGATCGTATATCTTCGAGGTGGTCTGGTTCGGTCCTGTTCATCTAACGTTTATATTTTTTTCCACGAGAAACGGATGGAGCTAAATTTCAGTTGCATGTTGTGTTGGGTGTTCTTGTCTTCCTTCAAATCAAAATATGCTTGCGTGGTTGTTCGGTTGACGCTCAAAGCGAATTTGAACGAAATGTAGGTATGTTTTACAAGAGACTTTCGTGAACCATGAGCTTTATTGCTTATAGTTATTTTCAGAAGCATAGCAAGTCACAGCTGCGAAGGATGAAAACACAAATAATTAGGCTGTAATGCGAAGGTTCCAAAAAACAGCCACACAAAATGACCGAATATTGAGACTGGTTACAAGAGATCAAAAAAACATAGGTTTATTCAGCTTGTAGCAACAATTTTACTTTGATCTATTGATCCCGTTAGCCTGTCTGCTATTCTGCTAAGATCGTTTGAGACCGAAGTTAGACTAAAACATGCGAATGTCTTTTGGGTTCACAATGCACAGTTAAACGAACTTATACTTGTTGTCTCTGGTGTTGTTGGGAACAGTTTACTCTTTCCTTTTTGCTGGTGTAGCTGCACTGTAAAAATAGCACTGAAAGTCGTTTGGGAGAAATGAAGATGGAGTCTGTAAGTCGAGGCTATGTAGCACACGGGGCAGGGCGACTCTGTCGGGCATTTTTCTTAAAATCCATGCCTCTATGACTACAGCTCACAATTACGGAGGGTTTAACAACTCGTTGTAGTCGGAAATCAGGAGGTTACCGACAGATCAGCCTGTAAATATTACTCCAAGCCTTGCTGCATTATAAATAGGCCTCTCTAAGTAGGTTCACAATCACGATAGTACTTTTATATCATGATAACCCATAAACAGCAGTTCTTCTCGAACCAGACCCCCATCAACAGAGGTGTTTTACTTCAGTCTTTCACCGTGTGGCATGTTAAAATGTTTGGTGGAGAACTATTCTTTAACAGCGCCGACTTCGGATCATCCGATCCTGTTTTCAGTCAAAACGAATTTTCAATGTCCATCAAGCACGCACACAAAGTAGATTCTCCTCTGTACTGATGGGTATAAAACTCTGCATATTTGTTTATCGCCTGGTCTATTTCGCTTTGTACTACCCTGAGCTAAACTATCAGTGCGTCATTTGAACGGCACGTTTTGTGGCTCCCTGGTGATGATGGAAATAACCCAAACGGACTAAAAGCTTTTTAGGATAGTCTCACTCATTGCCTAATTAGAGTGGTTTCGCTTCTCATGGGTTCACGGTTTACAGAGTTCAACCCCAAACTGTATCCAAGAGCAACAAGATAGGCGACAGTTTGCTGCGGTGCATGGAACCCCGAAATTGGCCTTTCTGAGTGATTCAGACGAAAAGTTATGTACATTCATTTCAGGTTTGTTCAGTAACCTACCGTTGAGACCAGTGGTTTCAAACCTACTGGAAGTTTACTTTCTTTTTCATTTTTAAGGTTTTCGAGGTACCACTGAACCCATTCTTCGAACGATTCCTTCGATCTGAGTAAGAGTTCACGGACAGTATGATGCTTCCGGGTGATATCTCGGTTTAGTTCAACTGTATGGTTGTGAGTTGAGTCACCTTAGTTACTTGTAAGTCCCCTTTGAGTGCAAGCACGTGGATGTCTGTTTCCAGCGCATGATTTTTATACTAATGTACGGGATACCCAGTGATATTTTAGTAATTGTGCCTACATGTTTTTCTGGGCTTGTTTGACGCTGTCTCGGAAACGGTACGCAAAGACGACGAGTTTTCGCTCAATTTGAGTTCCGTAAACGATCCTATCGTATACAGAACAAAGCTTTTGTGAACAAGCATAAAGTAATCCAACTAATTCATCAGCTGTCTTACAAGTGCAAAATGTTGAAAGGCAAGTAATTAGGTGACGTTATGGAGTATTTGCAATGCACCCATATCGGTTAACCGGATAAAGAGACCAAATACAAGGACGCCAAAGAAACATAGGTCAATCATGCATGTATTAAGTAGACGGCTCTTTCAGAAGGACAGTTCCACTTATTTGGGCTTTCTATGTTCATGTATCATTTGGTCTGATAAACAAATGTAATTCTCATGTCTGCATACGCACTTTCGATAAAAATGAAGTACAGTTGGTGTGATATAACCAATTCATGCAAATGATGGATCGATATTCGACTATCGTCAACCCAAAAGTGGTATGGTTCTGAGGTGTAATTTGCAAGTTTACCCAATACAAAGCCATATAACCTCACGCTGTTTATTCATGCGTAAACGATCTCTTTCCTTGTCCGCCTTTAATGTAACCAATAATTGCACTCCCCGTTACGTTAAATTGTCAAAATGTTGCAAATGGTCGAGGCGAAATGTTTTAGTGATCCAAACCAGACTTATACACCTTAAATTTCATGGTGAACACAAAAGAAGTATTTGCCTGCACAAACCAACCCAAAAGTGTAAAACATGTGTATATTTCTTGCCTGGCGTGCAATTATTCTGTACAGTAGTCAAGATGTCTTCAGGTATGAAAGTTAGCTGCAGAAATAGCCTAGAAAAATCATTCAGACAGGCCCACAATACAATGGATAAATGAGGTTCTGAGTAGTGTAGACATTAGCTTTAAGCTGCGACCTACCATTCATGGCAGTTTATCGAAACGCAATACCATAACGGAATTAATTTAGGAAGATAACGTCTGAGACGACCTGGCTAACTGATACACTGTCGAGGGTGGGGAAATTAGATAGACTTTAGATGTGACACACTACTTAGAACGTCGCTGAAAACCCTCCGGCAGCTTGCCAAACAGTCATATGCAAGTATAAGTATTGGTAGAGTGTGTTTTGAGGTATAGTAGAACCAAAATATCTCACAAATACACATCGTCTAGACAAAAGATGATTCTCATAACAAGTGTTTTACCTAGACGATGTATTACGACACCTCGGGTATCGAACGAATCATAAGGTGGCTTTTGTGCAGCACACTGAGTGAGGTATATCCTTCAAGAAATATTCAGCTGAACCATTTGAAAATTAGAGTAGTTGTCGAAGCGATTCCAATTTTGGTTCAAGTAGAACATAAGGGTGACGGAAATTAAAAAACTGTACCCCCCGAACGAATCTAAAGAAACGTAAAATCGGTAGTGTTCTGTCAGAAAGTTTTCAGCAATTTTCTGCAGAGTGTACTACTTTGTAATCTTTATGCGGCCACGTATTCAGAATAATCAAATGGATTGAGAGTTTGCGTGTGGCCAGTATTGCCAAGTGAATTGATTCACGCCAGCCATACTTATCCAGGCTGTTGACAGGGTTGATATGTAAAGGTAGGGTAAAAAGCGAAGTCAAAACGAGGAGTTGGAACAGCGAAAGGGAATTATGATTGAGAGGATGATGTGATGGTTGACTCAAGAAAAGCAAATGCCTTATTCTGTCAATAAAGCCATTACTTTCAATAACTTAAGTTAGGAGTTAGTAAGCCTAAATATGGATGTAAGCACAAAGTTAGTAACTCACCAGCAGAGATGCCAAAAGTGCCAAGGTTGCCCCAAAGATAAATGGAAATATGGTAACGTTCCCCACATTCCAGGGTTTAGGGCGAAGTTCGTCAACTGCTGAAAGAATGACTAATAGGAGTAGAGCGGTTGCCACAATCTCCAGTCCGATTGCTTGTCCAACAGTAATATTTGCACTTATGGTGGTCATGCCCAGCGTATTTCCTGCATCCACAGCTGGTACAGCTAACGTGCCAATCCACGAGCCGGCCATTGATCCAAGAAGTTGGGCAACAATGTAGATCAGTGCGTCCAGGAACCACACCTTCCTCACCAATAGCATCATCAGCGACACAACCGGATTAACATGCGCTCCACTGACGGGGCCGAAAACCCAGGCTATCCATGCCAGGGTGAGACCGACAACAAAGGCCGCAGGAACCGGGCCATGTTGGTAGATGACGCTCACGTAGCAAATAAGAGCGGTACCGAGAAATTCAGCCAGGAAGCAGCGAGTCGTTCGGAATAGGCGACTTAAAGTAGTTTCAGAGCTTTCACTCACAAAAACACCTTTGACTGGCATAGTTTTGTCTTCTTCTAGTTTGACGGAGAGTGCATGAAAGCTGCATAAATGGAAACAGTTTTTGCACAAGAGGGGTAGACTATTCAAAAAATAATTCGGACACATAAAAACTGGTTCTCATTAGGTAACCCGCAAAATATTACGAAAATTATCCACTGTCTGTACAGCTTCTAATCACTGGTCATCTTCGACAATTTCGAGGTATTGTTTTGAAAAAAATACATCCGACATTTTTATAGGCATTGCGAAATGGTAACAATAAAACTCTGTCAAGTAACCGCTTATACGGCTGAACGAAGCGTCTGCCACCGGGCGAAGAAGATCAAATGAAGTCTTGTATGCTGTCTTCTGCATTCCTTTGAGGAATGCAGAAATAAACTCCTGGGATTCAGTTGAGTTTCTTCTCATTACCAACTCAATTCGCAACCGAATGCGTTTTGCAATGTACAGTGCTTTGAATTTTAGGCAGTGCGTAAACTCCTTGTTTGTACCGATGGGATATAGTTACATCATTGTTTCCTAACAGAACAGCGAACGCACACTAGCTGAGCGTCCCAAATAGTGTGAAACAAAAATGAGGTCAATGTACACGTTGTTTCAGTCATTTCGGATGTGGCTTGGCTAGACTGAGAAGATAGAAGATAATCGGGTCGGGATTCTTTGGGCGTAACTTCTCTAGCATAAGCTAATGTTTTTTTAAGTCTCCATGCCGTAGTAGCTTAGTAGCTTAACTGTTTGCGATGATGAGCAAAAGGTTACTTTATGGTGAAAACAAACGCGCAAGGACTGTCAATGACCCATAACATGAGAGACGAAGCTGTCCACTGTTTTGCATGATGTGGTGGAGCTAAAACTGATTTAGGAACAACCCAGTCGCTACATAACCCATCCGGAAGCCATACTTATACTAATACCATCGCAAAAACCATCGGAAGTATTAGATCTAGAAGCTACCGGATGTTCGTATCCGGGCACCACCAAAGGTACAGGTATTTCACATGCCCACGCAGAGTTACTCTAGCTTGTCAGGCCTGAGCGCCGGTGTCCCAACAATGCGTCAGCAAACCTTTCACTGAAGCCATCAGTGATTTCTTAGTACCTCAGATTCATAAAAAATTTCTCAGCATAAAATAGTTTCAATTTGTTCGTATCTCGTGAGCTAGTGTTACAGTTAGCGCCAATGATTTTTCTGGACAAAAATAAATCGAACAGTAAGAGAGGTGAATATATACATTGATTTACAAACTAATTTGGTTTTTCAAAAGACTCACCTGGAACCCAGCTGAATCTCTCAGTTTTGGTGTTTCCAGGTAACTAAATGTTCTGCGCCAGGCTGCCTCATGTTTCGGTCGATACGGTATTCGAGGTATCGCGATACATATATTTTTTGTAATGCACTACTCATAGGGTTGCTGAAAGCTCCTTGACAGCCCACAGCCGGTTTCATCATTCTTGGAGCTCATCAAGAGAGTTGCTTATGGCGTGTCATTCATCGCACACACAGAAAATGGAAGCTCACGGTAAGGTAAAAATCCGACTGATATCCCTATTAAAGCATATAGGTTTTGTGCATAAACTGTTTGCTCTAACTAATATTGTTTATCTTGGGGCATTGCCGTAGAGGCAGTTTGCAACTGAGTGTCCTTTTATGTCTAAAATGAAGCACGTCATCTACCAGAATATATAGCGAAGATACGTCTGTTGCTGTAGACTCTCAGCCAAATGACCTAAAAGCGATAGAATTAACGCATCTGTGTTTAAACTGGTTCCTTCAGGAAAGTTTTTTTTTTTCAATTTACGTCTTCGACGCTCTTCTACCGTCTCTTCATTTGGTTTTTCCTTTGCCGAGCATTATGACGATAATGACCACTATGTTATGGTTATAAGCCAGGATTTGGCAGACGAAATTGAACCTGGAATCACAAACAATGTGTATGGACTTTGGTGGGAATCGAAAACCAACCCGTCATTTTTTCAGTATCTGCTCAGTCGTTGTCAGTGGATGTAACAAGTTACTGTGGAACAAGGCTGACATATGCGCAAAGAGGTTTTTCGTCGAAGTCTCAAACAAGTTTTTTTTCATTTGCAGCGGACGCTTTAAATGGACAGATGTACTTCTCATTCGCTACAGCTACAATTACTTACTACTCATCTTATTAGCGTGTTCACAAAAATGGAAACAACCTCTCAGGCATTATCGACGTTTATTGAAAAGTGGGAGTTGAAGTGGATTGTACTGCCAAATCTAAAATACTTATCTGGTCTGTAATCCGTAATTTCATCGTTATCAAATGGAATGAATTACAGCAAACTAGTTAACTAAGGAATAAATATTTCTGACAACCAAAAATTCAGAAATCAAAGAGAAGACTATGGAAGACTGGCATTCATAGATCGTATCATAAGCCTTTAAATGGACAAACAGAGACCCATGTCTACAAAAAAGCAGCGTGTACAGATGGGAACCTCAGCCCCTAGAGCAATCAGCTAAACTACCACAACCCACATTTCAGCCTTGTTAAAGTTGACTGAAGCGCAATGTGCCACGGAGAAGCATCCGTACAAAGTTTTTGAAAAAAATAAATACCTGATAAGTTTCATTTGCTTATCCTTCAGAAATCTCAGAAGCGTTCTAAAGAAATTCACAATTGAAAGCTTAAAGTCAAAATACAGGACTAGTTTCACCGATCTCTCAAAGTAAGAGTGTACATGGTTTAGTCTAGAAAAAAGCTCAAGAACGAAAAAAGAAAGAAATTGAATTTTCGAAATCGTGTTAGCTGATCGCAGCATGCATCAACAACCTTAATGAAATTGACGCAATCCATCACCCCAGTAAAGACAGAACAAAATGACCACAGTGCTTAAAGTTGCACACAAAAAAAGCGAAGAAAGATACAAAAGATCCAAAGTTTCCGATTCTGGAAGAAATGACTGAGCCAATTAGGATATACATCAGACCGAAAAGATGTTAGTTAAACTGAAACCTGTGAAAAAAGGCTTGTTGCGCAAGAAAACAAGAGAGATGTACAAACAGGCAAACAGACTGCGCAGAATCTGATTTCGAACCAGAATAAATTAAGAATAGAACAATCTAAGAAAAGAACAGGAAGCAGTGTAAGCGTCGATCAAACGAAAGGAAGCCAGACCACAACGCAACATGAATTGAAAGGAACAGTTAAGACAGGAACGTGACTTCTCGGACAGAACGCACCAGTCAAATGCGAGGATCACGGTCCATAAGGCAACACTAATCAAAACAAACAGGGATAATCAGTGTGTATTCCAGACGGCCAATTTCGAAAACCATATAAACTCAGTCAAGTCGGATATAGACACCCACCCAACAGTGCACGGATGATGTCCGCTGGATTGGTGATGAAACCTTGGCAAGCTAATTGCCAAGCTTGGCGAGCAGTTCAACAATCCCCTCAACTTTTTCTAGTTGTACTTAAGGCCAAAGCAGCCCAGTCAAGAAAGTGTTTGATTATGCGGTGGGCTGGTGTGACAGCGTACCTCAAAACATCAGCCATTGGATGTGATAGTCGACCCACGACAGTGGATTCCGATGGATATGTTTCCTACCTGGAGGTAAAATGGTCGCAATCACCAAATGTCTTGCTTGGTAACCAAATGTGAGCATTCTACATGCACTTCAAATAACACCGCTGAATAATGTGAACCAGTTATGGTTTGCGTTCCACGTTTACTTCGAGAACACCTTACATAAAGTCAGAACAAAAAAATAACACCTGCGATCGGAGTTTCGAAGGTTACTTTACTCTTGACGAGAATTCCGTATTGTTAGACCTCAAAGGTCACACAGATCATTATACATTATGGGCCCTTGTTCCATGAGACAAGGCTTGTGTTTGGAGTTTCAGCAACATTTTAGGTCGTAGTTCTCTTCTGAACCAGCACCTGTGTAGAATAGCCCAGACAGTGATTTGTTTCACAAACCTGCGCGCGTCTTGTTGCCCACCATCGACAACGAGGCCGCTAGTAGGTCTTGACTTTTTACAGAACCAGTCCTACTAAAATTCGACTTCACACTACTGATGCTAACTCAAGAATTCCGACAGAAACGTTGCTTTAGTCCAGTGGTATTGCATGAATGCATGTTTGTTTGTCAAACTTGGATAGCAAGCTAATGACAGCATGGAACTCCCACTTAATTCGTCTGGTTTTCTGTTTATAAATTTATTTCTTCTGTGTCTAGAAGTAACTCTGCACAATCACTTATTCTGAAGCAAGTCATATTCCGACGATGCTTTTCAGTCGTGCACAAAAACTCAACGTAAGAATGGATTTTTACGTACTTCATACGCTGTGGACGTTAAGCGACCGTTCATGAAAATGTCAGCAAATCCAGACATTTTACAACCACCAGATGATACAGTTCACAGTTACTCCGAGCTAAACTACGGACAATATGCATGCATTTGTTTTTTCTTGATCGCTGTGACAAAATTACTTTGTTTACAAAGCAGTTGACATATCGTCTGATTTTCTGACAAGCTGCTCCACACAATTTCGGCTCACACGGATCATGTCAACAGCAGTACGCTCGTCTGGCAACTTTAGCCTGCCAAAGCAAAACGAATCTCATCTAATTTGGAAGTAAGATGTCACTGAAAGCGGTATAGGTAGTTGAAAATTGTTTTAAAACTATGTTGGTTACCACTTACTTCTTTGGTACATGGGCAACAAATCGTCCGCAGGATATTTCTGTGACGTATCCATCCAAATGGAAACCTGCTGATAAATTCCTAGGGGTTATGATGTGTATTACCAACGGGGGGTTAAAAATCTTCAGACATACTCATGCAACCTCAGAACGATCAAGTGATCCATTGTTGGTGGTATGAGGAGACTTGGGATTTTTGTGGAGATTTCGTGCTGTAGGTAAAGCCAATCTATGCTGAAAAGCCGAAGAAGCACTGAACAGCTGATTCATCCTCGTTGAAGATCATCAGCAGTGCGCATCTCACGAAACTCCGAAGAGTGTTGAACCCAAGACCCTCTGGCTACTAGTTTGAGCACTTG